GATAAAACTACTTAGGTATCACCTTTCTTCCACCTGTGTCCTGGGAACACAAACACAGACACTCATCATCATCATCATCATTAGATGCATCTGTTACATCAGATAGTAAAAATGATATAAAAATAAATTTAAATTAATGTACATTAAGTTTATGATGAAAGATGGAAAAATATGTTGTGAAGATGAGGTATCAATATATTGAAATTTTTTTTCATGGTCTTTTTTTTCTTTTTAACTCCACTAAAGTAATTTTCAGTTTTGATTTTAAAGCTTTGTTAGGTTTTTATTTAAGAATGTTTAAATACATTGTTGTTTAAATTGGTTGTGATTCACACAAATTTAAGAATTTGCTTTTGAACTGGAACTTCCTGAAGCAGGCTATCTAGTCTAGGGTGATTAAACTACTGTTTAAAAGCCATTTTCACTGCCACAGTGTCCGTTATATAAAGATGTCAAGTCTGATGGACAAGAGCAAGGCTAGATCTCCCTAACAAAGAAAAGCTAAAGAAACCCAAGAGATCAACACTGGCAAGAGAAAAAAGGATCTTAGGCCATGCCAGGCAGAGTTTTACCTGTCTTACCCATCTGTCCTTGGTTTCCATTGTTTAAGGGAAAGCAGAAAAAAAAAAAAAAGCAAAACAAAACAAAAAAAACAGTAGCAGTCAGAGCAGTGGCAGAAACTAAAGACCTCATGCAGGTCAAATAAACTTTTCAAAAGTAGAAGGGGATTGGTTCAAGATGGCAAGGTTAGAAGATCCCAAACTCACCTCCCCCCATGGACACACTGACTCTACAGCTTCATATGGAACAGTTTCCTCTTAAAAAAAAACAAAACAAAAACAAAAAAAACTAAAGGCTGGCTGAGTGTTGATTATACATCAGGCAAAAGAAAACCACACTGAAGTGGGTAGGAGAGGCTGGGACACAATCTCACAATAAACCCTGACCATGGCTCAAAACCCAGGCCTTCTCCTTATGGAGCAAAGGAGAAGCACGTCCCACATCCAGCACGTCAACTTTTAGGACCTGCACCTGAGAGATGAGCACCCAAAACATCTAATTTTGAAAACCAGTAGGACTCATGTCCCAGAGGCACAAAACTATCATGATCTAAAAGACAGCTCTTAACAGGCCTAGATGCTTGGACATATCTGCCAGAGGGCCTAGCTCAGAGGCAGCCTGATTGCATCCAGACATAAAGTGAAGGAGGTTGACCTGCTTATGTTACAGTGTCAGCCTGTAGGGCAGGCATCTAATTTAACACATGTATCTAGGAGCCTACTGGAGTATCCTCTGGGGCAGAGACTGGCACGTGCTGTGTCCACGCTCTCCCTTCAGAGTGCTCCAGAGCACCAGGAAGGAAGATTTTACATGTGGCTGCTGCTCAGGGAATGCCTCCTGACTGGCTGGCTCTGGAGGCCAGGGGGGCTTGTGTTCCTCATCTCATGAGCCTGTAATAATCAGCATCACCCAGAAAGGAGCTCATACCCGTGTCTGGCTCCTTGATTTTTGTACCTGCTGCCAGGCGACACCTCCACATTGCTAGCTCTGTTGGTCAGTGGGGCTTCTGCTTGTGGGTCCCATAGGACTGTAACTGATGGAGAGATAGTTCTTAAGTAGCCACCACCTCCACTGCACAGTGAGAGGCAACAGACCTAGGAGCTTGGTCTTTCTGTGAAGGGGGCCTATTAACTAAAAACTATGGCTACAGCCTGAGGGGCAGGTTTCCAATTAAACACACATCTAAGGAATGACTATAATCTTTCAAGAGACCTCAAAGAGCACTGCTCTCTTCATGCTCCCTCTCTGCCACACTCCAGAGCGCTAATGTCTCCTGGAGGGAAGCTTTGCACAAAGCCAATGTCCTGGTTTTTACATCTGCTGCCCTGTTTTTGCATCTTCCCCCCAGGATATGCCCCTTGATTGCCAGGCTGGTGAGGGGGACTTGCATTCCTGGGCCCCACAGGACTGGCAATTGAAGAAAAAATTCTTGGCAGGCTGCCACCCCAGGACACTGCACAGATAGCAAATTGAGGCCTACCTCCTTCTAGTCTTTCTGTGAAGGGGGCCTCTTGGCTTGTCCTAGAACTTTGCCCTGAGGAGCAGGCTTCAGGTTTGGTACATATCTAGTATATTAAGAGCTACTCTCAAGGAATGTAGGTTGTAGGCACCATCTTGGCACTCTCCTTCTGCCTTGTTCCAGCTTTGCTAGTATCTCTCAGAAAAGAGACTATACATTCATCTACAGCCCCAATTTTTGTGACTGTCACACAGGGGGCCACCAAATTGCTTGGTCGGTGGGGCTTATGCTTGTGGTCCCACAGGACTGTACATATTTGCATAATTTTAAAAGCTGCTACCTGAGAGTCTGGCTTCCAAACAGTGTGAATCTAGGTACTGAGCTCCTCCCCTTTCAGTCACTGACAAGTCTTGGCACATCCTTACCTACTGAGAGCTAATACAAATATAGTAGGCTTTTTGGATAAGAACAAAAGTTTGAGAAATGACAGAGTTGGAGCAGAGTTGAAAGACAAGGTTCATCTTCTACACAAGGAGAGGGGGTTGTTTTACCTACTGTATAGATCAACAGAGTCAAGTAAAATGAAGAAAAAAAGAAGAATATGTTCCAAATGGAAGAATAAGATAAAACCTTACAAAAAAATCCTTAATAAAATGCAGATAAATAATTTACCTAATAAAGAGCTAAAAGTAATGCTAATAAAGATGTTCATCGAATATGGGAAAAGAATGGATGAACACAGTGAGAGCTTCAATAAAGAGATGGAAAATAAAAGAAAGTACAAAATAGAAGTCACAGAGCCAAAGAATACAATAACTGAAAAACATACTAGAGAGGTTCAACAACAGATTACATGAAGTAGAAGGAAGGATGAGTTAACATGAATCCAAGCTGCTGGTGGAACTCACCCAATCACAGCAACAAAAAAAAAAGAAAGAAAAAAAAAATGAAGATAACTTAAGGGGCTTATGCAACAACATCAAGCAGACCAACATTTACATTATAAGGGTCCCACAAGGGGGAGAGAAAGAGGCAGAAAACTTATTTGAAGAAATAATGGCTAGAAACTTCCTTAAGGAAGTTAAGGAAGGAAGTGGGGAAGGAAACAGACATCCAGATCCAGAAAGCCCAGAGATTTCCAAATAAGATGAAATCAAAGAGACCCACATCAAGACACATTATAATTAAAATGTCAAAAGTTAAAGATGAGAAAATATTAAAAGCAATAAGGGGAAAACAATTAGTTGTATACCAAGGAACCCCCATAATAAGTGTTTCAGCAGAAACTTTGTAGGCCAGAGGGAGTGGCATAATACATTCAAGATGCTGAAAGGAAAAAAACTTCCAACTACAAATATTCTACCCAGCAGAGTCATTCAGAATTGAAGGAGAGATCATGAGTTTTTCGTACAACAAAAACTAAAGGAGTTCATCAAACTAAACCAGCTTTATAAGAAATGTTAAAGGGATTTCTTTAAACTGAAAAGAAACTTTGCTAATTGGTAACAAGAAAACATATGGAAGAATAAATCTCACTGGAAAGGTAAATACATAGCAGAAGTAGTGGATTAATCAATTGTAAAGCTGGTATACAGGTTAAAAGACAAGGTAGTAAAAATTCTATGATTGTGATAATTAGCTACAGGATACAGAAGTAAAATATGACATCAAAAACAAAGCATGGGATGGGGAAGAGTAAAAATGTAAGCTTTAGAATAGGATCAAACTTAAGTTATCAACTTAAAGTAGACTGTTATAATTAGAACTTGTTATATGTAAGCCTCATGGTAACCACAAAGTGAAAACTTACAGTAAATACAGAAGAGAGAAAGAGAAAGTAATAGAAGTATACCACTAAAGAAAGTCATCAAACCACAAAAGAAGAGAGCAAGAGAAGAAGAAAGGAACAAAGAGAACTACAAAAACAGAAAACAGTTAACAAAAATGACAAAAGTACATATCTATCAATAATTACTTTAAATGTACATGGACTAAATTCTCCAATCAAAAGTGGCTATATGGATTAAAAAAAAAAACTAAATTTACACTGCCTATAAGAGACTCACTTCAGATGTAAGGACACATAGACTTAAAGTGAAGGGATGGGAAAAGATCTTTCATGCAAATGGAAACCTAAAGAAAGCAGGAGTAACTATACTTATATCAGACAAAACAGGCTTTAAAATGAAGGCTGAAATAAGAGACAAAAATGAGCATTACATAATGATAAAGAGGTCAATCCAACAAGAGGATATAACATTTGTAAATATTTATGCACTCGATATAGGAGCATCTAAATATATAAAACAAATATTAACAGACTTAAAAGGAGAAATAGATAGCAATACAATAATAGCAGGGGATTTTAATACCCTATTTACATCAATGGATAGATCATCCAGAAAGAAAATCAATAAGGAAATATTGACCTTAAACATGTTAGACCAGATGAACTTAACAGATGTATACAGAATATTCCATCCACAGGCAACAGAATACACATTCTTCTTGAGTGCACATAAACCACAAAACAAGTCTTAATCAGGGACACCAAAGAATATGCCATCCCAATGACAGATGAGTTTCATCTTTAGGTATTGACCTGCTATACCTCTTTAGAATTCTTTGGTCCTAAAGTTAACAAGAAAATACTGTCCTTGAACGACCCATTAAACATAACATATATATGTAATATCCCATGCAAAAGCAACTGAATACACATTCTTTTCAAGTGCACATAGAATTCTTTGGTTTATGTTTCAAACTGCCACATATTATCAGAGTTCTTGAGCATAAGAACGGGAGAATTCACCCTCCACCGAATGCTTCAGAGTAGATCAGAGAATGTCTTTCTGAAGTTTTCCAAATACCCAATTTCCTCTTTGAATGGGTGTGGCTTAGTGTCATTGTGGATCTGCCACATTTAACTTACTGTTGCCTGAATGATTAAACATTATGTTAATATGTTCATTCTGTCCAGGTGTCATTCTCTATATCCTTCTGGTGGGATATCCACCCTTCTGGGATGAAGATCAACACAGACTCTATCAGCAGATCAAGGCTGGAGCTTATGATGTATGTAATAAATATTCATATAACTGTAGATGAGTGTTTTTTGTTTTTTGACCAAGAACCAAAATTTTTCATTACAATTTTAACTATAATTTTCAACAATTTCTCTTACTATTTTTCTCTCTCCTAGGGAAAGGGAGATAAAGAGTAAGGAATGCAGCATATGTATTCCATTTATATTTCCTTTTAGTTCACTATCTCCTAGGATTGAAAGAAATACAGTTGGAAGCCTCTAAAGGAAGGACCTTGCTTGTCAAAATTTGGGGGTCTTAGTGCATTTTAAAACATAAAAAAATGAAAAGATTTTTGCTTTAGAAATGATTACTGCTTGTTCAGTTGAATAATATTCCCAAATGTTCATCACATAATTTTAAGTAATATATCAATAATACTTTGCAGTGATCCATGTATCAAATAGAACATTGTTCCATTATGTTAGCTTGACTTTTTTGTCCTGTTTACATAATGGGCTTTTGTGCAAGCTTTCATGTGAAGAATGGGTTTCATGATTTAAAAATTTTTGAAAATCACAATTCCAATACATTTAATTTACAATTAGAATATTTGAAAGTATGAGTATGAATTAAGTCCTAAATCTAAAAAGTAAGGCCTTATCTGTTTTCTCTTTATGGCTTAACTTTGTTCATTGATATAATTTTCTCTCCTTTGACAAATATGTCTGTAAATATGATTTACCACCACCTCTGGGTACATCTCACATAACCAGCCCTCTGGAAATTAGAGTTCAAGGTCTGATGATGCTTTCCTTTTTTTTTTTTTTTTTGCTTTTATTTTATTTTATTTTATTATGTTATGTTAGTCTCCATACAGTACATCATTAGTTTTTGATGTAGTGTTCCACGATTCATTGTTTTCGTATAACACCCAGTGCTCCATGCAGTGGGGTAACTAAGAAATAGGCAATATTGGGTCCACCTGCTGTGCCCAAGTTAAAAGCTCAATGTGGAAGTTAAAGGAATTTAAAAAGTCTATATTTTATTTTATCAGGTCTCATGAACTCAACATGGTATTGTTGAGTTCTACTATGGATGTGTATATCACAAGAATTTAAGATGTATATTCTTTTAATTTTGAAACATTCCATTTTAGTCAGACTAATAATTGGACCAAATTATGATCTACATGGCCACAGCTAGTACATTCATCATCTTTACAGACTACAAGGAGGCACCCACCTGGGGGGATATAGCTCAGCAGATGCACTGTCTGATGAATGTGAAGGAGTGACTTCGTTAAAATTTTAAAAAATGAGAAAAAGGTCCACCTTTATTCAGGCTGAACCAGCTCCCAATTTGCTGTCAGAAGATCTGTACAGCCTTAAATATTTCTTCGGTAGCTTCTAATCATTAGCAAGTTTTTACAGCTACCCAAAATAACTTTTGGAATTAAAATGACAGCTGTTAACCTGGCAGAATTTGAAATTAAAGAGTCACTATCATTTTTCTCCTATTTCATTTTGCCAATGGGTCACAAAGTACCCATTTTATAACTACTGAAAGTGAACTAAAGTCCAGGACACAGTGACATGACAGTAGCATTTGTTCCAAGATCGTCTCTAAAAATTCATGAATTGAGAAAAGGACCTGATAGTCTGTCTGTTGTTTAGAAACTGATGGGATGTAAATTTTTCCAAACCTATCAAGGATAGTATTTCTACTACTAAATTATATAGAAATGAGGTTGCCTTTTTATCAACAAAAGAAACTTAGAATAAATAGCTTTATTATATAGGTATTAGTGCACAAATGGCTTATTAAGAGAAGTTGTGAATATTGGTTCCTTTTAAGAACTTTGCTTTGATGAAATCTGTAATTAAGTAGATTAACTTTTCTGAGATGTTAAAATGAAGTCTTGCGAAGGCTCTTATAGGCTGAGATTTCTTCTCAGTATTCTATGACAAATAGCCACAAGTAGTAAGTTTTGGCTCAGGTAATGGAAGCTGTGTTATGATCTCTACTATTACTGCTCATGAGTTGTGAAAGTACGTAATACCTCATTGTTTTTCTGTAATACCTCCTTTTGAATCTTGGTGTAATAATAGCATGATGACATCAATACATGTGACAGACTGTCAGCTTTATTGATGTTTGCAAATAATTATGAGAAATATTGCATAAAATTTTATTTTCAAACCAAAATAAGGAAGCTTTGAGAGGACGAGAAGTTTATTTTAAAAACTTAATAAACTTAAGTTTATTTTTCTAAATTTTAAAATGTATGTACTAGGTATAATATGCAATTTAGAATATGTGTTTATCCCTTATTGGTTACTTTTCTTTAATATATAGAAAGAGAGGGAGATATATACATCTACATTGATTTATCTATCAATTTATCTATTTGTAGATACAATTTAACTTCTACAAAAAGTAAATTTATGAAGAAATTCACCACTTAAGAAAATGATTAATTTACTTGGCTCTTCCCTGTTTGACTGAGTGTATCTGTTTTTTAAACTCATTATAAATTTGTGTTTTTGAAGTTTCCATCACCAGAGTGGGACACAGTGACTCCTGAAGCCAAAGACCTAATCAATAAAATGCTTACTATCAACCCTGCCAAGCGTATCACAGCCTCAGAGGCACTGAAACACCCATGGATCTGTGTAAGTGACAGTTCTCTAAAGACCTTAGGAGCAAAATTAAAAATATTTTTCATGGATTTAAAATAATTTTTGCAGAAAAAGATGAAACTAAAAATGAATGTATTTTTAACTCAAGGTATTTAAGAAAATAAATTTGTAATGCTGATAATTGCTATTAGGGGTAACAAAATCTGATTTGCATAGATTGATAAATATTGCCACCAGGAATGAGTATTTCCCCTACCAGTTATTGATAATACTCATGAACAGAGGTCAAGAAAGTGACACCAAGATTAACTATATCCCAGTAGAGAATATTAGACAAAGTTCAATTATTTATCATTAGGCAGCTTTAGGGAAAAAAATAAGGTTTAGAAGCTTGTAGTGAAGTTATACTAGCAAGAAAGAATGGCCATAGTAGCATGAATATATTTTAGATGTGCTAAGAAAAACTGAAATTTGGGGGGAATGTAGAGATTTCAGTACATTTCTAGGATTAAGTGTCAAATGTTAGGGCAGTAAATATGGTGCTAAGTAAATGAAAGACAGTCCAATAGAAATATAATTAAAGACATTGAAATACAGACAATTTGGGGAATTATTGATATTCATTTCTATACTTTCTATAGATAAATGTTGCACCTTCATTACAAATAGTCTTGGCAAAACTAGTCATCCATTATTAGGGAACTTTTTTTGCAGGTGAATACTCACAAGTTCATCATATGGGTTCAGGCACCATTAATGCAGATTTGATGAAGTTGAGATACTGTAATGCTTAGTATGTTTTAAATATCCTAAGTTTCTTTTCTTCCTCTTCCAGCAACGTTCTACTGTTGCTTCCATGATGCACAGACAGGAGACTGTAGACTGCTTAAAGAAATTTAATGCTAGAAGAAAACTAAAGGTAAGAAATTTTACATTTTTGTGGGGAGGTAGACTTGGCAGAGTGAGAAATGAGATTCTATATGAGAAAATAACTTTTTAGCAAAAGCCTTTAAATGTGCAGACCTCAGTAGTCTTATTACTCTTCTTCTGGGTCTTCAGAAAATGGAATAGTGCACTGGAATTAAGTCTACAGTGAAGAGCTAGGATCTCTGTGGCAGTGTGTGCTGTGGTTCCTCCCTTCAGAGGAAAACAACCCTGCAATTTGACAATTGGAATCTGGCCACACACATGAGGGCAGCCCCAGCATTACGTGAGACATAAGCCTGCTGCTCTCAGGAAACAAAAAAAAAACAAAAGCAGACAAATAAAAATCCCCTGACTGAAAGTAAGGCTAGGAGAAGATTTGTTATCAAAGACTATTTATTTGTCAGGTCAAAGATTTGCATAAGCAACATTAATTTCATATTCTTATTTTTCTGACAGGGTGCCATCTTGACAACTATGCTGGCTACAAGGAACTTTTCAGGTACATGTGTTAAGAATTCTGTTCCTTATTCACTGCTTTCCTCTTTAGTAGTCATCTTGGAATTAAAGAGAAACCTAGTAATTAGAAAAACACTGTTGTTTAGGGATAGCAAATATATGGCATGGAGGGCCTGTCATTAGGGATCCGCCTGGGTACTGTCTCCACAGAGACATTAGGCACGTGACTGCACTCTTCATGGGAGCACTCCAGCAGCCCCTCCCCTGGTTAGTGCCATGCAGCCTTTGAAACCCACCTGTCATCCTTGCTGGGGGTACACACAAGTTGTGGAAATATGTACTCCCTCCTCTTGAAGCTCAGCATTTTCAACCTAGAATTAGTTCATTGATATTTCATCAACTAATAACTATAAATAAGATTTTTTTGTTTGTCTCATTCTCATAGGGAATCCAAATAAGCAAGATTTTTAAAAGAAGACCATTATTGAGGAACCCAGTTCTCTTAGGCCCAAGTTCTTTCAAAAGTACAGTTGTATCTTGGCACACTATAGGAATGGTTGCATATTTCAAAGGTATCTAAACTCAAGAATTTACAGAGAACCCTACCTTACAGTAATAACACAGGATAATAAATGTTCCTCAAAATGATTCCATGATAAAAATAATTTTTTAAATAAAAGAAGCTAAGCCATTTCTTTATTATAGGATGACTTTCTAAAATGGAATTAATATATATTATGTCCGGAAATTACTTGAATTTTGGAACCCCCTTCTTTAATAGATTATCACAAAGGACCAGGTTTCCAAAAATCAAATTTTGGTAAATTCTAATTAGTCTTATGTATGGGGAGGGACTGAAGCAGCAAGAAAGCTGCATTTGGTAAAGTGGCTGTTGAGACTTGGAAGGATTATCAAATGATTTACCAAAAATACTACCACTTTACTTAGCTTACTATTTATATAAGAGAGATCTAAGACATCAAATTATCCAACTATTCTTCAGTTATTTCTCCCTGTACATACTTAACTCCTGGGTATTATAGTGCTATCAGGTGATGATCCATAACCTTATCAAATGTTCTTCAACCTTCTCAACTAATTTTTAGTTACTTTCTATGACTATGTTAAATGGTCAGCTTTTACCCCCCATTATATTTAGTTATACATAATGTGAAACCATAGGAGGCTTTCCAAAGGCTTCCACTGACCTGTTAAACAGCAACAAAGAATACAGTGAGTAATGCTGCAAATTGAGGGACTGTGTTAGTCAAATGTATGTATTTTGCCCAATTTGTTTGGTGTAATAAAACATCATTACTGCCTTTGTCAAGTTACCTGTTTTATGAACAGTTGATTAATATAGTTGACATTGATATGGGTGAGTTCAATATCATCTCATTAAATATTAACTAATATATACTATATTCAAATAAATATTTCACTGTGGCCCAAAAATTAGTGTATCAATAAAAGATAGGATGATCAATATATATTGTTAAAGATAAACTAACTTGAAAAAATCTCCAATATTAAGACTGGGTATTTTGTTAGTCTTAAATACACTCTTAGGCATAAATTGGGCCTTTTTAAATTTATAACACTCATGTATAGAAGCTTTTTGTGTACATCACCTTTTCCTTTTCATCACTGTGTAAACTAAAAACTCATGACTAATGTGTGAATTTTATATTGTTTCTGATGTCTAACATGAAAGGCAAACTTTTTTTTTTTAATCCATCACTTCAAAACCAACTGAATAACATTGGACCCAGTTACAACATCTTGTACTTGATATTGCATTTTAGTTTTGAGTATTTTATTCATTCTGTTTCATTAGCAAACATGCTCTTTAAAGTAATTTGTCCATAAGTATATGGTTATAAAGTTGTTTTTTTTTTTCTTTTCTCCCTTTATGTGGAATGTATTTCTTGTGAGGTAAGGTGAATAGTAACCAAAAGGGACATTTCTGCATCTCCCAGGCCAAATCCCTGCTTACCCTGAATCATTGTCTTCTCTTTGCTTGCGATTGCAATTTCAACTATTCTGAGTTTGCTTTCTAACCTATTAACTGCCACAGGATTTACTTAATACTGCTTTTTAACTCTAGGCAAATACTATAGCTAAGGCAGCTATTCTTACAATTGTCAATTAATAATAAATTAATAGCTTTGTTGCTAAGGACTAAATAAAATTAACATTTTTGTATCTTAAATAAATTTAAAATTATACCAAAGTGATATCAAAATAATGTCCCAAATCAAATGGATGTCAGGAAATTACATGTTCATGCAGTTCTATTATAGCTAGGTATTTCCATTTCATATGCCAAAGTCTACTCTGATATACTTAAGTAATTATATATATATATATATATGACTTATATATATTATATATATATAAAACATTAAATGGAAACATAGGTATATACTTTGTCCTGCATATTCATATATGTTCTACACTTGGTGTACTGATTGTCATTAGCAGTTATATAATCTGTTAGGTGTGTATGAATGTACCCATTCACTAAGTATATTTTTTGAAAGGATGACTTCACCTTCTAATATACTCAAGAAGCTCAGTAACAAAAAGAATGCTAAAAGCTGTCCTTGGAGAAATTGCAGTTTCACATGAGACCATATAATTCAACGGTTCTTTGATTAGTTGAAGATTTTGTTTTGTTTTATATCTCACCTCAAATTTTATGATTTTTAATTTTTTGATGTAAAAGGCTTTTGTTTATGAAAGCTTTGTATTCTGATTTTGAAGTATAAAAGAATACATCGTGCCTTTTTTTTAAGGTCCTATGCTAATTGTTTAAAAAATTTGCTCTTGGCCAATAATATGCCCTTTCATTTTAAATACAGTTAATACTATTTTTTGTAAAGATGAAAGCTCTGATTTCAGATATATATTTATTTATTTTAAAAGGATGTTACTTAGCCAGAGCAAATTTTCACAAATAAATTTCAAACCTTCAGAAAGAGGGGCTTAAGTGGCAGAACTGACATGGTCACCATACTTGTGATATGAATGAACATGTAATACAATCTGTCAGCTGATGTCTGAAGACTGAAAGCAACTTTCTGGATTACAAAAGCATAGTCCAGTTAAAGTTCCAGTATCCTTTTCGCAACCAACAGTGAAATAAAGTCCACTAACATAACGGGCAAAGTGTTCAATTTATGCAATGAACTGAATAAGAATTTAGTGCTAAATTTGATGTGGCAAAACCAAGAAAAGCGATACTGTATTTCTATGTCCCGTAAGCTCGTGCTCATCAGTGTGACCTTGATAATTTGGCATATGTTGGCCATAACTCAGTAAAGGTGATAGAAGGAAACAATAACCTGATTTGTTGCCTGGCATCGGTTTCTGTGGATAACTCACTGAAATGATTTTACTCTCATTTTGCAGCAGCCAAGAGTTTGTTGAAGAAACCAGATGGAGTAAAGGTAAGTTAAACAGGTGCTCCTAAAATCACTTCTGACTTTCAGATGCTGGATCATTTCAAATGTTAAATATAAATTGTGAGTTTTCACAGCTTGTATTTTTTATAGTTCCTCTAAAGGAGACAGGTTGAAGTATAAAATAATTAATATGTAAAGATGACTGATATGTATGTCAAGAAAGAGTATATTTTTCTGTTTTATTATATACTAAATAATCTGACAAAATAATGCTTTTATATGAAGTTGTTGTAGAAAATGAATGTCTAAATCCTCTCTGCTTTACTACAGTCCCAAACTATCATAGTGACCTGAAAATCAATGAAAACCAAATGCTTTGCAACTAGTTATGCTAGGTTCTTGAAGTCTGCTGAAATGTATAACCTGGAAAAAAAAAAAAATCAAATCATAGGGTCTGGGAAATTAAATGTCAAATGATTAAATTTCTCTGCTTGGGCAGTTTTTATAAAGGTCTTAATTGTTCTTGTGCTTCTCTTATAAGGTATTAAGACATACTCAAGGTGAATATTCTGAAAAATTATAGAAAAATTTTCCAAAAAATATAACAACAGGATATTTTGGCTTTCTTGGATTTCTAAACAAAGTAATACAACTTATTTTCTATTGATTTTATTTTGTTTCATGGGAATTTATCTTTGTTTGAATGTAACCTTATATTTGTATTATGTTTGTTATCTTTCCGGACTATTACCTAAGTATTTTGTTTCTTTAATCCTTTTCTTTCTCTTCCAATGGCAGATGCACACATTCCTCATGAACACTTCAGCATTCTTGGGAATTAGTTAATATTCTAACATTTGAACTTGACCCAAAGTCAGGTGGTCAGTTCATTTTGAAAATATAACATAGAAAATCACATATCACTTATGTTCATGCCCAACCATTTCTTCACCTCCGATTTATGTGTGATTTGGGAATTTCCAGAGCTGTGGTTACCATGCACTTGTGATTCCCATTAAAATGGCATTTGCCTTTTACCAATTGCTTTCCTCAACCTGTAATGTTCTCTTCCTTCTGCTTAGTTCATTCAGTTTCAGTTTCATTAATGACAGTTGATGTTGCCTTTTTCCCAATATTACATTGGTGGAAATGTGATATTTTAAATTTTCCAAATGTTTCATTCTGTGTTTTTCTGTACCTTTCAGTGATGCAGAGGTCACAATTCCTATAGAGATATTTATTTTTACTACTATCCTTATATAGAAAGAAACATTTCCAGAACTTTTTTTCTTCTAGACGACTTATAGCTTCTCTTTAAAGAGAAATTTATTCTGTGCTCCATGCTTTGATACTTTAAAAATTCAACCGGTCATATTTTTTTCTTTTCCTTTCTCTTTGACTGGTCAATTCAGAAAAGGAAGTCCAGTTCGAGTGTTCAGATGATGGTGAGGATCTCTATCTGCCAGATTTCTCCTCCTGTGAAAATTCACACTTAGGAATAAAAACAGTCTTATTTACCTAAGTTAGTGTAAGTGTAGAAAGTGTAGGACCATTACACGTCAGTGTCAATTGACATCAAAACACAGTACCCACATTCACATAATACTGTTTCTGTTTATCTTTGAAATTGAATTTTTAAAATATGCTTTATACCTTTATCCATATGCTATTAAAGGATCTTTTATAAGACCAGAGTCCAGTTTTCTCTTGAAACTGAAGAGATCATGACATAGTTAATGTCTGTTTAATGATAAGTGAAGGAATACTCTAGGATTATTTTTAAGTGATGATCATGATTACTAAAATAGGAGTTACTTTTAGTTCAGATACACTATAATGCATCTACCATGAAGTTTATAAATAGTGTGAAAGTGAGCATACAATGGACCCATCCTAGTTAAGCACCTTATAGAGGAAACATTTATTAACCTCAAAACTGAATAAAAACACCTGAGAAATAAAAATATCTTGCCCATGCCTCATAACAATAATTCAGTGAATCACTTAAATATCTGGTTTGATTTAGTTTTGTTAAAGAAAAATAGCTTCCATAACATAAAATAACTACATTTCATAAACAAAAGTGCCAGAGTTCTTATATGTTTAAGAGACAGCTTATAGTTTAACTCCTACTTAATATTTGACTCTTTAATAAAAAAGAAGTCCTCCTAGTCTTTTACTTAGAAATTCTCCTGTTATTTTTCAACTAATTAATATTGCAAGTACCTTCAAAAGACTTCCCATAGTAATAAAACATCATTAAGCTTATCCTTACATTGACTTAAAAAGTTTGTAACTGTACATTTAAACACAACTAAAAGTGGTGGTTGAGTCTCATTCATTTAACTCCTATTTGCCATGCCTGACAATAAAGCATGGCTCATCCAGGCAGAATGGCCCTCAATCGGAAGACCTGGTGGTGTGTGTACGCTGTGTACCTATGTGTGAACATGTGTAGGGGTGTGTGTTGTATGTGTGTGCACACATTTGTGCAGAGAAGTACGTGTGCATAGTTGTGCATGTGTGACATTTTCACTGAAAGAAATCAGTTCTTCACAACCATTCTAGAAAATAATCAAGTCTCTTCTCTCAAAACAGAAGTAAAAGTATCTCAGTATATTCCTCTTTTACTTTTGTATCCGCTGATATAAACTGAATATAACATAATAAATATATGTGGTGCTTTCATTATAAGTACCTCTGATCATTTGATAAGAAGTCAGCTGTGTTTTGCCATGCACTCTTCCTGATAGGAAATTATTTGTGTGCATCCCTCCTCTTTTATTATGTATTTCATACTAACATAAGTACTAAATTTTGATCCCTTTTTAATAGATTCCATTACCTCTTATCTCTTTCTGGCTGTTGCACAAATTTGATGTTAAATTCTGTACACTTTAATTTAAAGAAAAAATTTTAGACCATCTGCAAAATAGAGATTGATGGTTTAACATTTAAAGAGTTTTTCAGTAAAGGGCACCAGAAGTTTTCTCTTTTTCTTCATGTCACAGAGCTTAGTGTTATATAGCTTAATTAAATAATACTGATACCAAACAATCACACAAATGTGAATGAATAGAAAAGCAAAATATTACATGCCTAAATTAATTTCTTTAACCTTCTATGTTCTTCCCAGTCCTGGTTTCAATATGATCTTCGGGTATAAAATACAAAAGAAAAAAAAAAAAAACCTCCCAGAAAGTCCCAATAAAATTAGTGTAATTGCTTATAAACTCATTTGGTATTCATCTATTCTATGCAGTATATTTTTCTCTTTGAGACCCTTAAGAACATTTATACTAAAATTATGGGATGTGTTCCTTTAGATAATATGTAAAGAAAATACCTAGATAATGTAGTACAAAAGAATGAATGTTAATTTATAGCTCCGTTTGGTAACCATAATGTAAGTTATCATGCATGAGTTTAAATGAATGTTGATTATTACTGTTTAGTTTTTCATTCTTTAGTGCCCAAACTCATTTGTGATTTCAAGTTGCCACTTGTCTACAAAGAGTTTTCTATGGACCCATTATAATACTTACCCTCTGAGTTGCTTTCACCATGTGGCTTCCATTGTGATATGATCTTTCTTTAAGGTCAACCCCAATATGTTAAAGCAAAGGAATGATATTACCAAACGCAATCTTCAACAGTAGCACTTTGAAAGAAAAGCAAAGTAGTAACACTTTGACAGAAAATACAGTGTTTTCCTCTCAAACAATTGTGAAAAAAGTCTTTTTACATTCAGAATATAGTAAAGAATTCAGTTTGCCCATTTACAATTGGACATGTGTTTTTTAAAGGAGGCCCAGAGTTATCATTTTAAAAATATATTATAAAGCCTGCATTTCATCAGAAGATCTAAGTTTTGAAGATCTGAGTTTTGACCTACTAAGCAAAGCGACGATGGCTTCCCAGAGAAGAACGGTCTATGTGTGACTTCAGGATCAAGAATAAAATGAAAAAAAAAAAAGGAATGTATTCATAACAGAAAACAACTGGAAGCTGGGAACAGAATCCAACTTGAAGAGTATGAAAATGTTTATATTTATTTCATACTCTGAAACTTAATTTGAGCTCCACTGAAGCAGTTCTTTGTTGGCCAGTGTGGCACAGCCAAAGCAGCCAAGGCTGTTTTATCATCCCACCGTCACAGACACAGTCCTAGTCTATATGTGACCACCGGAGACTAGAATTGATTATCATTCCTGTCAGACATCACGGTGTCTTTCACATTCATCCTCAGTGGATCTTTATTTTCATGTCTATATCTCCATATAGACATGCTGCAATGTAGAGACATTGGCTACCAAGGGGTTTAAGGCATCTCTGTTTCTATTTTCTGCATACCTACAGATAAACAACAAAGCCAACGTGGTAACCAGCCCCAAAGAAAATATTCCTACCCCAGCGCTGGTATACCTGGACTCTGTAACCCTTCTTAAGTTCTTCATTGTTTTTTGTTGTTTCTCTCATTTGCTTTCACTATATAGATACATGTATAACTATTTTATTTTGTTGGGTTTTGTTTTGCTTTCAAAGATATAAGAAAAGTTCATTTCTTTTTTCTTTTTGTTAAGGTAGTTGCCAAGCAGTGTGCTTCTAACATGAGATGATCTCATTTCATTGTTGAACATTATTCTGATAGCTGTGGTCTCTGTAGTTGAAATTGTCGCATGCTGCTTTAGAAATACAGTAGAATGTGCTTTGGTTGCTCTTAGCTCTTCTTTTGATGGTAGCTCTAGATTATGCAAACAATGGTTTCCTCCTTTCATGATGGAAATACTGACATCAAGGAGAGCTAAGGGGATGATTGCTAGACAACAGTAAATGTAGACCTTATTCAGAGTTCCCATTTCTTCTTATTAAAAGACAGCAGGGCTTTGTAAGACCTCATTTTCTGAGATGAAGAGGCATTGGGTAATTTTGAGCTTTTTGTTTGTTGTGTTTTAAATGATCACTGTTTCACTTTAATCCAAAGAATGAAATGTATAGCATAGAGCTTTGAATTATCAGTGGAAGCCAGTTTTGCCCATTTTAATCAAATTCACACTATTTACAACTAAATCATTTTAATACTTTGAGATAGTGTTATGTTAAAAGTCAAGATTTGAATACTGGCATTCAGTACTCTGAGTTCCGTAATGGTTTGCTCAAACTATTACATATTTTGATACAGGTTTTCTGAAATATTTCTGATTTTTTACTGTACTCTGTACTGTTATTTTAAATGAATAAAAAAATACTAAGGGAAATTATTTCACTTGGGTTAACCAGAAGGTTCAGTTTAAAACATTTAAAGGAAAAAGGACATATCAAGATAGCAAGTTATCTATGAGTAAAAAACAATGTCAATCACACCTCTAGCCAGGGAAAGGAAGAAGGGAAGCAGTAAATGTGTTCTCTAACTGTTACAGCATAAACTGTGGTGAAGAGGAGATCCTAGAGGACAGAGTGCTTATAGTGGGAGAAAATTTTCAGTGAGCTGCAGTAACTCGGTTACCAAGACATCATGCAATGAAAGTGCCAAGCATGCCAATGGACACTGAATCTTTTTTACATCAGTCATTTGAGTGTTATTTTCCACTTGGGAATATTTCTTCAATTCTCTGGTGGAAAGCAGAAAGGAATAATAATATTTTCTTCATGGAAAAGCATGACTTTACAAGCAAATCTCTATATGTAGTCCATAAAGCTGAAATTTATTTTTAGGTATGAATTAACATAGCACTTAGTAGATTATAGTGATTATATGATTAGTTCTAGAATCCTTTAAATGAACCTTTTCAGTATTCCATAGAATTGCTTATGGACTTTTGAAATACATTCTTTAGGATAGCCTTTTTTTTTTTAAGCAAGGCACAGTGTTCTAGATTTTTCAGAGTATTTATCTGTGTATAAACTATACTAACTATAGTGATGACACCATAATCCATTCTCAGATACACCGGAAAAAAAATCCTCACAAAGGATTCAAGATCATTTTAAAGAGTTCTAATCTCTAGGGTCCTTGGTCCGTTTTCTATAGGACACACGTTAACAGCCTACTCACTAAAGAAAAGGAAGTTCTGTTACAGAACTTTGTGAAACAGTGAGTGCCTCTTTCGGTCTCCAAACTTCAAAGCCTTGTCTGTTTACTGATCACGAATAAGGTCTTTTGCATGCTGCTGCTGGGTACTGAGGTATCCTATCTCATGGGCTCATCAGGGAGATCTTTCATTAGTGATCTTGTCAGCTGCTACCTCTGACAGTGGTTAACATCGCTTAAGCTCTGGTCACTATTTAGTTTTGTCAGCTGGCTCACTCTGCTCTGTCCCTCACACTAGTAAGAATGACTTACCAATGCGAACTGTTTCTTTCTCTATTTTGTTCTCACTCAGGAGCCCCAAACTACTGTAATCCACAACCCTGATGGAAACAAGGTATTCAGAAAGAATCAACATCATCTTGCTTTAACAAGATTACACATTTCATCAAATATCTAAAGCAAAATTAATTCATTATCTAAACATGGGAAAGAAAATTCTTGCCCTTTTTCTACCACACTTTTTTTGGGGGGGACCTAATTTATCTAGAATTGTACACATATTTCTTTCAAAACAAAAATGAATGACATCTTGAAAGAGAAATGAATGGCCAATAAAAGGTTAAGCAAAGTCTTTATGTCAAGATGACTGTGTATCTTAAGCAATTCCATCTGGTCCTTTTTTTTTTCCTTCTCCATGTCTGTCTGTGCATTGTACTTTCATTATATTCTGCATGAAATTTTAGAATTTCTTGCTATATCATTTCAGTGTCTTCAAAAAAATCAACTTGAGTTCATAGGTGTTTAAATTTAATGTTGCTTTTGAGTTTTATTTATTCTGTTGTCATAGTGCTTTTTCTGTTAATTCCCTGTTGTTTTTGTTGTTTGGCATGAAATTGAGGATAATCAGGGAGTTTCAATTCTTATGAAATGTTTGTTTTTGTTGAATTATATGCATTTCAGTAACAGATATTTAACCACTTAGGCTGAAAGAAGACTGGAATGTTTTCTGTCTTTTGTAGATTGTTTGTGTAGCATGTTAACTAAATAATAGTACTTGTATACATGCTATAGGATGAAAGGAGACATTTTCTGAACATATTCCATGTTTCCAATTTACTAAGTCTCATATTTTATTGTATCTCTAAGGGAAGGAAAAAATATTTCATCAGATTTTTCTCAAATATCAAATATAGTCATGGGTCTAATTTCTCCTTACTCTTATCAACAATGTTTGCATTTTAGAAAACACATTTCCTCTGGTTTAACATTTAGTTGATCAATATTAAAATCATTAAAATAAAAAATCAAGTATTCTTTAATATGAGATGTATTTTATGGTCATGACACTTAAAATATTTTAAGTTCCTAAAAGACTTGTAGTACTCAGGAGCATCGTATAGGAGAACAATTTTTTTAATATCGTTAGCAAATGAAAGACCAAGCATAACAGCTGGAGTGGATACTTCAATAGTTCTAGCTATATCATTTGTAAGAGTTGCTGCATGATATTTCTTGCTTACATGAATTAGTTTACTTTTACAGTGCATGGGTTTACCTTCATCTTGAGTTTAAATTTGAATACTAGGTCGCATTAAGAAACGCATGAAGACTCTCTGCTTTGGTTTTGTGTGTATGGAGAGACTCTGGATACACATTTAATTAGTCTGTCCCTTTGGCTTAAATATTACATATGATATTTATATAAATTGATTGCTTTTTTGATTTTTGAACCTCTACAAGGACACTGGTATTTGCATCATTTTCCAAAATCTGTTTTTCATCACTGAGCACATAGCTCTGGATTGAAAGTTTGTTTCCAATTTCTTTCAGCTCTAGCCTTTAATCATTACAAGTAGAAAATTGTGTTTTTCTTATGAATACTACTAAATTTCTTTGCTGGAAAATATTTTGTTAGCACATTATTAGTGGAAAAATTTATCAAATCATTTTAAGAAACTGTATCTTAATACTGGCAGTTACAGTGTCCTTTTAAGTGTGCTTATTAATCTTCAACTTCACTTGTAGTTTTACAAAGAAATAGCTTTGTCTTCCCATTATGGGAGCAGGTTTCTGATCAATAACAGCCAATTTCTAATTAAGAAATGGATGAAAAATCTAATTGTCCTTGAAAGTAAATTATTCATATAATTCCACTGCGCTTATCACAAACATGGAAATTCTTGTTAAAAGCAATTTCAGCATAATTCAGCTTAGTACCCCTAGCTTCCTCATCAAATGATGCAAGAAATGCTTTCTGTCTCTACACGGGAATAAGACGAATAGGCTGTGAATTCAGTGCCTAATACAGTGCCTTAAACAAAGAAGGGGTTATTTACTGATTAATTAATTGGGAAGAGAAAGTGTTCTATTTTAGGGTCAAATTCATTAGGCTAGTATATTCAATTTATGATAAATATATAGAGAAAACACACCTTATGGGGCACTGTAACCAAATACGGCCACACACAGCTCTTAAAATAAGTTGCATACTTTGGTGCTTCTACAAATAACCTAGATTTATCATGCTTCAGAGTAGGCCACCAGAGTACTCCTTTTTGAAATGTTTGCAGCATTTGGCATTTTATTTCCGTTAAAATCACATAATGTATTTGTCCATCTGCATGTCAATACATGTACACAGCTTGCTGATGAATTTTGCATGACATGTATATCACTTGCCAATTTTAAGAAGAAAAAAGTGAAGTTTTCCATTGTTCGCAACTTAACACATGTTTTCTTCTCAACAGGAGTCAACTGAGAGTTCAAATACAACAATTGAGGATGAAGATGTGAAAGGTATGATCAAATCAGAAATGGAAAATCCTGATTAGAGTTCCATGTAAATCAGAAAAATAATTGTTTCAAATAACTAACAAGTTTGGGAAGTAGGCCTATTCTAAAAATCAAAAATAATTTTCTTTTTATACGTACACTATTATTTTGATTATATGTATTGATTTTGTCAATTTTTTCACATTCTTTTCTCTGTTTTGAAATAGAGACAAATGTAGGATATTCAAGCACATTGTGATTTTAAACTAGTAATGACAGTCTGGGGACATAATATCAAATTGTAAATGTTCAGTCAGAAGGTAATATAAAATGTGTATCTATGTCTAGAAAACAGCTTATGTTCAAGAACAGAGTATGAAAAGGACTATTTTTTAAAACCTTTAATGGTCTCAGTGAGTTTCAACATTTGGCAGCCTTTTTATCCTAGGTTTTTGTGCCCTTTCCTAATATATTCTTGACCTCCATTCACTTGAGTTGCCCAGGTTCTTTTAGAAATATAAATGAGTCATTGCCAGCATGTCTATGGACATCTCACTGCCTCTGCACATACATACTAAACATACTTTGACTTCTTTTTGGTCTCATGGCTGTTTTAGAAGTATTAATTTTACTTCAGTTTCTTTCACAGTTCTCATTTTTGTAATTCGGCTATGTAACTACAATTTCTACTGGCCACTTGTCTAGAAGCCATTCCAAAAAAGAATGGTAACAATAGGATGTTTAAAAAGTATTAAAGATGTATTAAAGGAAAATAAGCATAAAACAAATTCGGAGAAATGATTTGTCAGATAATTAAACATTATTTGGAAAGATTATATACCTAATAGTATCAACATGGGCTTTCATTTTGTAGGTGGCATTAGTAAGACACAATTTTGGAAAACTGTATTCATGTTTAGAATAAAGAACCTGGAAACTCTCAGGTCAAGGAGACAGATAAGCAATTTAGGAAATAAAAATGCCTGCAGACCACAAGTTACCAGTCACCTATGCTGACTTTTCCCTCTTTGGTTGAATAGAACAGCTGACTCTATTATATTAAAGTGTGCTCTCTATTTATATTTTAGTGCACTGACCTAACTCTGCTAGAGGTAGTCAGTCATTTTTTTTCTCTTACAGTGGAAGGTGGATAGCTGTGTCAAGGATTTTATTTAGTAGGTCTATTCATCTCGCTCTTGCCCCTAAGCTAAAATTTGAATAGAAGTAATTTTATGAATCACTGATGCCCACCGCATTAGATAAAGAGATTTTTTTAAACCAAATAAGCAGATATGCCATTTAGCTTTCTCAGTGATTCAGAAAGCATCATCTTTGAAAGTATTTTGGATTCATTAGCTCTTTCAGCCAAGCAAAATGTTTATATTCTCTTGAGCAAGAATCAGGGGAAATAAACCTGTGCATTATCCACTAGAAAGACTGAATCTTTAAACAGCTGAATAGTATTAGAATAGCAGCACCGCACCATGTGCAGTTCATCCTAATAAACATATTCCTTGGTGATCACAAGCAGGGTTTTAATAAGTGGTCTTTCTCACCTGAATTTGACTCTTTACTAAGTTTTGGTTTAGGATGATCGCTATTAATGTAGGTAAATATCAACATATAAACAGAATGCCTGTCAGTCCTACCTTATAGTTTATAATATTTTTTGATGAAATAAAATTATATCAGCACCTCTCAGAACATAGTTCTCTCCAAATCACAACAATGATATTGGCTTCATTTTGCCAATTCATTTGTGGGACTTCACAAATTGAGATAGTTATTTGTCTTTATGGTTCTGTGCTGAGACTACACACACCAAATGTTAGAGAAATTAAGTATAATATTGAGATGGAAAGAAATGTCCAGTTGATTACTGACCCCAAAGTGTTTTGATTTATTTCTTTGAATTCAATGAATAAGTTATTGAAGTTTCTGCTTAATTTTCCTTGCGTGGGTGTGGCTGCAGAGTCACAGATATAACACATTTGGCATCATTCTCTGTAAGACCCACACAGCTTTTTGGTGGCTGACCTTTTTTAATATTGAATGATGTTGGAAACCTGTCAGACTAGAAGGCACTTTAAAAAATCACCCAGGTCATCATTCTGACTCCAAGACAGGTGGTATATAAAACTGTCATAAATATTTTTAATGTATTTATTGTGTGGGTTATATGCTTATATGGGAATCTCTTCATTAATCAGGACACAGTCCTTCAGAAAGACCCTAATTGATTTCTGCATTTGTATGACTGTGCTCTTTTCTCTTTACCTCGGAGTTTGCTATAGCTCCGGGTAGCTTGGTAGAGAATGTTTATTGACCAGCTGTGTTAGAAGCCAAATTTACCTTTATATCTAAGCTGTAGGAACTCAAAAAACCATCAGTTATATAACCTGACCAAAGCCACATCCTACCTACGAAATTCACTGTGTTTCTTCCACATATACTTTCCAGCCCTTTCCCTTCTGTATACAACTTTGTTAACAGGGTGAAACACCAGACTTCTGAACATATTCTTAAAGGCATATTCCCCTAGCATGCTCCTGCATGCAGTCACATGCTCCATCCATTCCTGTTGGCTGTCCCACCTAACAACAACACCTAGACTTCATTGTTTCATGGTGGCATATGATCCCTGGAATACCATAGTACATGCTTCCATGCCAGTGCAGTGCACATTCTGTCCAATCCCCAAGGACCAACCTCGCAGTGACAGTTCTGCACCCTCTCTACTATAAAGAAACAGCGGGGGGAGGATATTAACACATCGTGGTGACCTAGACAAAGGAAGAAATGAAAACCAACAGCAGAATACCTCTTGCTGGCCTTTTCAAGGGGAAAAAAGTTGGGCCAACTGCTCTTAAGGAGGAAGGAAGTATTAGGCATAGTAGATGAGTAGTCCTTCACATTCAGGGAACCTAGAGTGCCTAGAGAGCCAGAATTTGGAGAAGACCCGTTTTCTTTGAGCTCTCCTTGTTAGTTTTCATTCAGAATGGCCTTTGGTTTTCATAAGGCCCCAATCTATGTGTTATTCTTGAACTGTATATAGGCTACCTCAGTTTTTTCATTCAGCAGTTATTTATTGAATGCCTACTGTTCATCTGAGCTCCACATCTTCTCTTGGTGACTAGTCTTATTCAAGAACTTTCAACAGCTCAAGAGTCAAGATGTTCTTATGTACGTTTTACATGAAGTTTTTATGCTATAATTTAGGCTGTTTCTCTCATCTAATTCAACAAATGTCAAGAAAATTGACTTTAAAAAGTGAGACCCAACATAAATTCATTTTATTTCTAAAAGTCCTTTCATTTTTCATTTTTAAAAAAACTTCAGCATTTAGTTATAACCACAATATTTCCCTTCCCAAGCTCACAGTCATCCTAAGGGATTGTTTTATAATTTTTCTTTTTAAAAAGCTTCTTAAGTTCACTGTTTTCTCTTTCCAAGGCAATGTGGACTTCCTAGTGTGGACCTTTTGAGCCATTTCCTAATTTTGTCCTATATTTAAAAATCAAATATTATCTCTGACTCTATGTCTGTAAACTCAGAGGGATACGCCATGTAATGGAAAGACGGTAATGGCTTAAAAATAAATGGGAGTCTTAATGAGGCATAGCTACTACCACAGAAGCACTGTACAGTAAAAACAGCTATATGCACCCAAAAACAAACAAGTTTTCCTTTTAGAATTCACTGGTGTTTTCAAAATATGGATTTTTAGGTCTAAAATTATTGAAATAGTCATTCCATTTTGAATATATTTCTAGTAAAACAAATACTTGTAGATGGCAACACTAACAGTGCAGCGCTCTGTAAACATGGGTGTCCTTAAAGCCAATGATACGTAGCAATGGTCCTCTCAGCACTGTATACATTTGAAGACTGTCCTTTGGTTTGTAGCTGTAACCACAGTTTGCAGGGCCTGTCACTGTATGCCACAATGTCTCTCCACCTCATAATCTGCCAACACCATTGCTCAGAATCAGCTACTTCTTCCTGATGGGTATGCAACGGTTTGGTCCATCTGCTGCTCTTTCCTAGAGTTCCAGAGTTGTGCAACACCTGTTGAAGTTGGACTCCTTTGTGCCCTTATGTTATCTCTGTCACTCGTCCTGCTTCCAGCATCTCATTGTATACAGCTCACCATTGAGTAGCTGCTTGGATCTCCTGCTGCATCTCATCTTTCTTACAGATTTAGACCAGTGGAGCTCTGTACAACAAACAGAAATGTATTGCTGTGAGCATGGGGACTTCATTCTGGTTTATCCTCTTTTTCCTTTTGCTGACAAATAGATGATGATAATGAAGTTGCATAGAATGTTTGCAAAAGGCCCAGTTAAGGGCAAGGGTTGACACCCGTATCATTTGAATTGGGCCTGGTATTTGATGACATCTGGATATAAAGGTCTTGGCTTATCTACAGAATCACTTGGTTAATGAGCTTTTTGTGTATGTCTTTGTGAATCTGTACATTAGTGGACAGTGTGATGACTAAATACTCAGATTCAACTATTCTTAAATTCTATTTACAATGAAAACTGTCATTGCTGGGTAGAATTCCCTGATGCCGATGATCACATGAAACCAATCTTCTTCAGATCCCTCTGTGGTTTGTAACTCAGCATTTGTCCTGCATGCCTTTCTCTCTTCAAGAGAATCTGCAAATTAAGAAACTTCTGGTTGTTTTCTTTAAAAACCTTTGATAATTATGTCATTCCATTAGGTTAAAAGTGTCTTAAAAGACCTGTAGTGCAGTGCATAATAACTTCTTTCAGATTTCTAATCCAAATTTGATTGTCTGCATGTGTATATCTGCCTGTTTAACTTTTAAATCAGGATCAATAACTTACAGAACTGATGCAGAATTTATTCTGCTCTACCACCAATAATAAAATAACTTCATTTCTCTTTATTTTTCTTTTTTACATTCCTTTATTTTACCTCCATATTCACTCAGGTTTTTCCATTTATTCTTTGCCTCCTACTAGGTTTGTATCTTAAATTTGTCAGTGATAGCC